AGTCAGTCTTTTATGAATGGGTTAAGGTTTAATGACATTGACTATTGCAAATATGGATTTAATTTCAGGAAGCGAACTAGGTTGTGGAACAACCTTGATAGATGGAAACCCCGAAGTTTATGTAATAAAGATTGTGGCAAAGTGGTTAATAATAAACATATTGAAACTGCGCAACGGGCACCAAGTGGAAAGCGGGACAATTGGTGCGAGAATTATGTAAAGCATAAGCAAGACTATTTATACCAAATACCTGCTGAATTGATTTGTGAAATCTTGGTGAGTTTGACGGATTGAAGAAATAAAACACAACAACAACAGTTTGACCAACTATTTCAATGTAGTTGTCCAACTATTTCAACGCAGTTGCCCAACTGCATCGGTTTCAAACCATTTTGAAAGTTGATGCTAATGACCAACTATTTGAATGTAGTTGTCCAACTATTTAATACCATAACCCATAAACGTTTTTGAGTTCCTACGAATGTTTTTTAGTTCCGCTGGAAGTGTTTTTAGTTCCGCTGGAAGTGTTTTTAGTTCCGCTGGAAGTGTTTTTAGTTCCGCTGGCTGTTTTTTGAGTTCCTGCGAATGTGTTTTGAGTTCCGCTAGATGGTTTTTGGTAATTGCCTTTGTAATTGTCTATTGTATTGGTTGTTGTTTGTTTTTTTGTGTGGTTTGTTGTTTGGTGGTTTTTCTATGAGGGTCTTACCCCAGAGCAAAAATATTATTTGTGTCTAAAACTATTTAAAGGGTAGATTGCTTATTATTGTAAGAGATTATGGAAAGGAAATATTGCGCGTGTTGTGGATGTCATAAGGATGGAAATTTGTTTACCGATAGTTGTAAAACTTGTGATAGATGCCGTGAAAGGCAGAAAAAGAAAGACCAAAGAAAGAGACTGATAAAAGCGATGGATAAGCAACACAAAGAAATAGAAGAAGGAGAAAAACAATACTGCACACATTGTAAGATGAATAGAAAGGTTGGGTTATTTTCGGAAAATCAAAAAACTTGTGATTTGTGTAGATAAAAAATGAAATCTACTCGCAGACATGGAGAGATAATCATAAAGAGGAGATAAGTGAAATAAATAAAGACTATTGCATGAAAATATTTGCGTGTTCTGTTTGTGATTGTGAGGGTAGATTGAAACACAAAGCGAGGCATGAAAAAACAAAGAAGCACATTGATAATTTAACAAAGATGAGGTTGAGGATAATTGAAATGGTTTAAGTTATTCTTTAAAATGAATAACTTGAAGCATTTTATCAATTATTATATGGTTTTTGTAAGTGGATTGATAAATTATGTTGGGCGGGATTTGGAAAAAAGGGTAGATGAGGTCTGGGTAAGCTACCGCTTGCTATTGGTCCCCCAGGACCCCCCCCCCCCCCGGCCCGAGACCCCGAGCCCCCGGATCCTGGCACCTACGGTCCCACTCCCACCCCGACCCCCTGAACTCGCACCCCGACACCCCGGCACCCCCACCCCCAGGACAAGCCAACCCGCAACCAACCCTAAACCAACCCTAAACTAACCCTAAACCAACCCTAAATACACCCGAAACCAAACCCTAAACCGTACACCTCTAAACCTAAACCAACCCTAAACCAACCCTAAATCAACATAAGCCAACCCTAAACCAACCCTAAACCACCACAACCCAACCACAGGACCACAACCACACGGGGGGGGGGGGGGGCTTTGTCTGACCCATGACCATTGGGGGGGGGGGGGGGGGCTGGCAACGCTGTACCATACCGGGCGGAGTCTGAATGGGAATTATGTGTCTTTTTTTGTTTAATCAAACTAATTGTTCTGTTGGTGTCCCTTTAAAGCCACCCAAAGGGGGCACCTTCAAGAACGACACACCCAAATGTATGGGTCATTCAAAAAGTGCAGTCCTCTCAGTTGCCCAAACGAATTGGCCGCCAACTTTTTGGGTTTCGCCTCCAGTGACGTTTTTTCCTTTCTCTGCAGGAGGGTTCCCTTAGACATCAACTATGCTCCAAATGCAGATCCACACCCCTCCAAAGGAGGCTGCAATCCTTAGGCTAGAAGTTAGGTTGGAGGGGGTTTGACTGCCTATCAGATTGGCTCTGGGGTAATTGGCAGCTTTCAGGGAGGGTTCCACAGGGTTCCAGGAGGTTCTGGATACCACCTGGGCTCTTTTTGTTGTTTTCTTTCTTTTTGGTAGGGGTTTCTGGCGGGCTGCAAAGCGCCATGGATTTTGCAGAGGTTTGGAAAGTCGAAGAACCGTTGGACCAAGCGCAGGGGATTTCCACCTCTGCCAGGTTTACCTGGGCTTCCCTGTGCCAACATCTGAGGTCGACAACCTCTCGACATCGCTTGCTGTTCACTTTGCCTGAAGAGCAGAGCGAGAAAAACACGGCCTGCTCGGATGTTCGGACAAGTGAAGTGGTATCAACTCGGGCTTTAACCCCCCAAACAAGGTTAGCCTCACTGAAGGGGACTTAAGTTTGGGTCATAGCCCAGGTCACTGACCGCTTGGGAACTGGGCCGACCCCTCAAGTACTTCAAGGATCGATCCGACTCCTATCGGCTTCGGCTTACAGAATATCCAGGATTGGGGGTCTCAGCACCTGGATGCTTTGAGCGCCCTAAATCAATTCGGTAGCCTCTGGTTATCTCTGGTTGCTTAGTATGGGTGACTATAAATACTCCAGTAGCCATCACGCCCGGTTTGCAAGCCATTGGAGGAGATGAGCCACATATTTGCCCTTGTGCAGGGGAGGAGGCAGACTCACACTAGGCTCGAAGATTACCAAGGAAGAACTGTGTCATCTACTTTCACCCTACAGAATTGCTGTTCCAAGGTCCTATAGGCCTATAGGGGGTCTGTGAGACACTGAACCTGGGGCCTCAGTTGAGGTCCCTTCACTTCATTTTGCGACATGGGGTTGTCTCAAAATAGGGGACCCTTCGATTTTGAAGCTTTGTTTTTTTCTCTTGAAAACTACCCTGAAAAGGTACCATCAGACACCCACACTGGATTGCACTCGGGGTGGAGGGAAGCATGATTAGCTGGTCGAAGTTTTGATGGGCGCACTCTGTGATAGGGCGGGCCCGCCATCGCATATTTGGCTGTGGCTCAAAAACACGTGCCAAAATTGCACCCTTGGCAAATGGAACCAAGACTAAAACCTGCGTAACCCTAGCTCTTTAATTTTCAGCCACACCCACTTGGCGTACTCGCAAAAGTATATAGTAACATGGGAATTCAGGCGTTTGTGGCTACCCTGACAAATGATTGGACATAGTCATTGTGGATAGACAAAATCCTGCACCAGTTGGTAGGTGGTTTGTCTCAGTATTCATAGGGTTTCATCCATCCCAACTGGTGCAGGGCTTTGTCCATCCACGCTATGTCCGCCGAACTGCTCCTACTTATCATTCAAGCCCATGCTGCGGTCAAAGCACCTCTTAGACTTCCAGTCTGCTCCCAAGTGAAAGTCACTCGTCGGAAAGTCGATGCATCTTTTTGGACCCGGCACGCCGGGGTACTGGGTGCAAGTTTTGTTTGAGTCGGAACCTCCTTTTGGTTGAACTTATGTACTGGAAACCAGAGAGACCAATCCAACTGGAAAGATTGGCATTTTCTGGGATGACACAGCCCTTCCTCAACAACAATCCCGTTGGTAGCGTCAATCAAAAGGCCTGGACCCTGACTGCCCTGAAAAGAGGAGCGTTGAAGCACAGCTTCAGGGCCATGCTTTATTTTGGGAGAAACCAGGTTGGGCGTCGGGGATCCACGGCGCCTTTGTGCAAGACAAGCGAGTTTCCACAGTCCATTCCGTTGCCAGGCGGAGCATTGGGCTGTGGGGATCCCAGCGAACCGAACCCCCAAAGGGTTAGCCCAAACAGAGGTTTCGTGTCTCTTTTTTTTCTTGGGGGGGGGTTCAAAGGGTTGGCCCAAAAATAAGTTCCGCGATGAAGTGTTCATGTTGGCGTTTTTGTTGACTCCACGTTTAGCAGAGTACTTGTTGTTTTTCGGCCTTGGAGTCTTGGCACCAACCAGTTGACAGCGTTTCACGATGCGGACGGATCCGCCGGGGCATGCGGGCAATGAGCGTGTCTAGTTTGGAGTTGTCTTTTGGAACTCTTTCCACAATTGACTAGGTCCCCTTCTTGGGCCTTCTACCCTTCTTTGGGGGAGGGTTCCCCTACTAAAATCGACTACAGTAAAAAGGGTACCCTTATTCCAACCTCTCTACTGGAGGACCTAGTTAAAGACGACAATGATGGCCCACTTTGTTGTCTTTCTCCATGATTTCCCTCTTTCTAATCGCGGACGTGGACAGGCCGTAACACGATGGGTAGTCTGCCTAAAGCCTTCTGTCCATGAGGCTAATTCTTGGAAACAGAAACGCCCAGCCAGCGGCTGTTGGGTACATTCAAAAAAATAAGGCGATTTCGTCACCTTCGAAGAAAAGGGCCCTGCAATTGTCAACCCAACAGTGGGTTCTATGTGGTTGAGAAGTGTTGCCATTTGCTGCAACAATGGCCAACCCAAACAGAACTTGCGTTTGGGATGCCAATGGCAGGTTCCGCCCGAAGTGCAGGACATGCTATCTTTCCCTCAAGGTCAAAAGGCACACCCCGCTTGGGAGAAGTGTTGGACTTGGGAAGCGGTTGGGCGAGTGTCCACACTTCCGCGGTTCAGATCCCCGGCTGAAGGCCAAGGGGTCTTTGCTGAGACTCGGTTTGGAGCGGGGTGAACCAGGGGGTGGCTGTTTGGGGATACCGCCTGAGCGCCCAAGAACTGTTGCATGGCTAGACATGTTTTTAGCAGATACCTGGTTTCATTTGGGTTGCAGTAAAGCCACTATGAGCCCCTATGCCGAAATTCTATAGGGAGAGATTACCCTCCGATTTTTTATTTGGCAAACCCAGCTGCCCTTGCAAGTTCCACGGGACCCGTACAAATTCCAGACCCACCGGCTGAAGCGGGAAGACGTCAAACACCCAACGGGCCTGATGGGATGCGGCTGGGATGCCGTTGGACTCTCGAGGTGCTGGGTCTAGCGCCCGGCTCCAGCTCACAAGAGGCCGGGGGGGGGGGGGTGGGGGGAGGTCCCTGCCAGGAATTCCAGCGGAAGAATCCGCCGATCCAAGAATCCTTGGACAGCAGCTGGTTTTGGGAGGTTTGGAGACCCTGTCACCCTGCAACCTCCAATTGCCCGACTGACAACATGCGCTTCGCACCGGTTGGGATGGATTGCGAGAGTGGCAATTTCAGGGGTGACTGGATTCAACCCAAACCTTCTGAACACTTCTCAAACATATATACATTGTTGGGTCTAGATATGGAGAGACCATGAATTCTGAGGTCTATGGACAACAGAGTCAGAACAACACATTTTCTGTGTGTTTGGACACTCAAACTACCCAGAACGGGGATATTCCCTAAACACAACAGACCTTTCTGGTTTCGAGGGTGCAGTCGGGCCCGGGTAAACACAAGTCGACCCAGGCGGAAAGAAGGAGCCTAGCTGTCTTGAGAGTATATGTTAGTTCCATGTTCTTTTCGCGGGCCGAACAAATGACCGAATGGGGTGGGTGATCACCCAAAGTGTGTAGTTCGCCACCCAGTTGCAACCTTGATGACCAAATGGTTGCCCTATCATGATCATCCCGAATGTGTGTAAGTTAGCCCCATTTGGCGACCCTGGTAGAAAAAGGGAACCAGCCTTTCATGGTTCCATCTGGGTAGATCTGGGTAGGTCCCAAACACGGGTCACCCCGACAACATATTGTGGTTTTCCATTCGGCTCACACCCAGTTTTCTGTTTCCTTCTTAGGACCCGGACTATCAGAGTGCGCTTCTTGATTTGGATCATGGAAAATCGTTGAAGGGCTGCTTTCCCAGGTTTGGTTTGCCGCATTTGGGTCTGGGCCTAAACAATATTTCACCGAATAACCCACTTTCCTGGTTTCCAAGGCCCCCACTCAAACAGGTTCTAAAATGGGTGGTGCACCCAAAGTGGGGTTTCATTGGTTTTGCCCTTTCTGACTTTCCGTTTCAGGCTTCACGTCTGTCTTTGGGTCAGACTGACTTAGACCCGCAAAAAAGTCATTCTTTGCCACAAAGGGGAAACCAAGCGACCCATCTTCGCTACAGGCGAATTTACAACACCAGCCAAGTTGGCCCTCTACACTCAAAAAGCATGTCTCCATTTCTGCTGGGAACCAGCCAAGTTGAGTTCGGCAAAAAAAAGAGGGCCCCTGAGTTCGGCGAAAAAAAAGAGGGCCCCTGAGGTTGGCTGATAGACCATGTCTATTTCTACACTATTCCCGAGCTCACAAATCAATGGAGCCCCATATCGGGATCCCCACAAAGGGTCGAGGAGGAGCCACGTTGCTGGGAGGTTACCGCACCAAAATTTGGCGCCGGAAGGCGTCGGCGTCCGTCGGCTGCCGCGCCACTCGCCGAGGTGCGGCGGGCCTTCCGCGCCAAGGCCCGGGACCTGCACCCGGACCTGGGCGGGGACCCCGAGAGGCGGGGGGGAGATGCGGTGGGGGGGGGTGGGGTGGGACGGGGTGGGGTGGATTTATATACATATATATATATATATTTTGGTTTTAATTATATGTTGTTGTTTTTTTTTCTTTTTTTTTTTGGGGGGGGGGGGGGTGTTTTTTTTTTTTTGGGGGGGGGGTTGTCGTTGTTGTTTGTTTTGGTGGGGGGGAGGGTGGCCCGTTTTAGGTTGGAACCCACCCAAATAAAAATAGGCAAACACCGAGCAAAAGGAACAACATCTTATTTTGGGGGCTGGCAGGGAATGAGAAATGGAATACCAACAAGTGTTTTAGAAACCCCCACCCAAATGCTGGCTGCCATTCTTTGATTTCCCCTTTGCAACCCAGGTATCCTCAAAAATTCTGGCACACCCATTATTTGTGGGTCAACGTTTGGTACCATTTTAGATTGGAAACCATGACGACGGATGTAAATCCAGAGTACGTAGGTCGAGCTCTGGGGGAACCAAAGAAAACACCGCCCATGATGGGTCCCCAGTCCCCCATGTTCAGAGACGATAGCACATCGGGGCCTTTGGTCCTTTTGTGGTTTCCCGAACTACTTAAGGACAACGAGCCTAACATATAAAAACCTCACCCTGCCCTTGGAGTGTGAGGTTCAAATGCTGCTGGTCCTGGGGCCCGAATTGAGCTTGTGTTTTGAGGGGCCCTTCGTTTGGCACATGGGAGTTCACCATTTGCTCCGGGCTGGTGGTTTTTGTCTGGCCAATCCACTTAGGAAGTGAGTAGCTAGCGAATATGTTCGAATCGTGCCACTTCGGGGCCCATCGCAAGGTAGGAAGCCAGCGAAGCAGTGGCTTAAGACCCGGTGGGTATGTGCCTTGGAAGCGTCGCACATTGCGCTACAAGGCCAACTATAGCAAGCTCGTCTATGAAGAAGGTCCTTGTGCCGGCCTCCTTATTTCCAGCGTGTGAATTGCAACAAATGCCCAGATATGTGTCAGGAACAAAACACTTTTTTTTGCTTCCACCTGGCAGGGATTCAATAGAAACGCTGGGAACGCTCGTTGTGCGATTGAGACCTGGCAAGCGCCCGAAAAGGGGCAGCCTCCAACTAAGGCACGCTCTTTGGCCCATGTTTTGGGCAAGGTCCTTTCACGGGAGGGCAGGGCTGTCTCCCTTTGGCGAATCAAGCCCTGCCGCGAAAGGTTTTTGGGCGTCGAGAGCACCGCGTCAGCCAGACCCGGGGCTGGGAACCGAGTGCAGGTTTCACGCGCTTCATTTGGCCTACCAGGCGCTGACGCAGGCGCTGTTCGGCGGGAGGAGTCTGGGGCTTTTGCAAGGTTTGAAGTTCTTTGTTCATTTGTTGAGTTTGAGAAGACTTGAGACTGAAGGGAGCCCAAAGACATCAACCTGTATGTCCGTCACGTCTTTGGATGAGAGAATTGTGGCAAGTTGGGTTTAGGGAATCTCAGGACGGCAAGAATTACGCGGGGTGCCTGAAAGGTTCACAGAACCCTTCTAAGAACCCAGTTTTTCAGAGTATTGGATCGATTCTTACATGTCCGAATCCGGGGGTTCCTTCAAAACTATTTTATGTTTGAACTAGGAGCTGAATATTTGTTTCATCTGGGTTTCCTCTAAAACTGATACAACTAGGTTTTTCTCCAAGACTAAATATGAAACAGGAACTGAGCATGAATGTGCCTTTTAGCTTCCCTTTAAACACCGCAAAGGGTGACCTCAAAGAAGTCGTTGCCCCCGCATAAATAGGGCAGTGGGGGCCCCTCCAAAAGAAGTGAATCCCCATCACACTGGGACACCCCCTATAGATCAACCAGGGAGCAGCGGGTTTATTATTCCGGGTTCAACATGAAGTTGTGGATTCTGGCCATCTTACGTACCGACTTGGAAGGTAGCAGATGTTCACAGGTGGTGTCCAGTCTCCCAAGCCCTGTTGTCACGTTTTCTCTGGGTTCTGACGTTGTTTTTTAGAAGGAAGAACGGGCAGCCACGTGTGCAGGAGACTTGGAAGGGTGGTTCAGACTTTAACGGTGCCTGTAAGGATCTTAAGGCAGCCAGGAAGTCTCAGCTCCCCACAAGACACACCAAACACGAAAGTTGCATTTGCCTCTCGATGAGAAGAAGGACCCCCCCCAACAAGAGGGGACAGTTGACCGGCTTACCCGCCTGAAAGGAGGAATTGCAAAGGTGTCTGCTGTACTTTCCAGTTGTGATTCTTTCCGGAGATCTGAATCGCTTAGACACATGCCAAAGAACCAGGAATCCGAGTGATTCTGAGTCCTTCCAATTTGCGTAGCTCCTCGGCTGCTTCGAGCCATAAAGAAGACATGACCAAACCTTGTTGGGGTAGAACATGTTTGGAACAAACCTGTCACTCACGCGGTTCAGTACTCCGCGGAGGTTGCGCAAAAGTCGTACCGACTTGAGTGGGATATAGAGGAATTTCATGCATTGAGAACCCATCTTAATTCCCTCTAAATTGGTGATTCGGTTTTCCCCGAGATTTACCAACCTACAAGAACCTGGGGCTCAACCCCCCTAACCATCAATCCAAACCACCAACGAAGGGGTACTCGATTAAGCCGTGTCAACCCATGTAAACCTCGACTAAAAACCCATATTAACCCCGGCTGCATAGACGTGGCAAACAAAAAGCGACCTCAACATTCAGCTCTCAGACTGTCGCAGGTGGAAAGTCCCGCCGAAAGCCCAAAGCCCGCGGGTGGCCGCAAACCGGCCACTTGGATCAAGTGGTTTCTGAGCATAGGTGTCTTTTTTGGTTGTTTTGCTGGAAAAATAGATGGCCCTGGTTTACCTGGTTTAATCAAGGGCCATCTATTTCACCTAGAAGGACACCAAGTGGTTTCTGAGTGGTTTCTGAGTTTCCCAGACCTCCCGCGGTACCAATCTTCCAGCGAGGAAAAAGCCAGGGGTGCCCTCCAGACAAACCGGGACCAAGCAAAAACGCCTCCGATGCTCGAGTCTTAGGGGTGGACGAGATCAGGACGTCTCCAAAATCATGTTAATATCAAGTAAGTCAAAAAAATGAAGCAGCATCAGGATGTCTCCAAAACCATTTTAATATAACGTAAAATCAAAAATATGGAGCAGCAGCTGGATTTTTGTTTGCAGCTTTGGGCCAAAGAGTTTGCAGATCCCAACTTGGGAAGCTCTCCCTACAGCTTATTCGCATCAGGCAGCCCCATGGGTGTGTCTTCTTTTTAAGGCCCCCTTCAGCTCCCCCAGCACGAAAGTCATGTGATGTGTCATTTGGATTCCCCGTTTCAGTCGCCCCAAGAAGGGGTATTTGTTTTCATTGGGTTTCCCGTTTCAATGGCTCGAAAAAGGGGAAAACCCTCAAGGAAAGAGACAGCCGCTTGATGTTGAGCCCCCGGCCTTGCTTGGATGTTTGGTACGTCTTGAGGCGAAGGACGTGCAGCCGGCCACACGGACCATGGAGGCGCTCTGACCTCATGCATGCCGACAAGAAACTCCGAATCTTTGGGGGCGATTCCCAGCGATTTCTCAGGGAAACCAAGCAGGGATACAGGGGGCACCAGGGATGATACGGGAGGATTCCCCCGAAATCCACCTTGACTCAGTTTGATGTGGGAAATGGGAAAGCCGAGGGAATCCCCCCATATCCCCGCTCCCTCTGAAAACCCCCGCTGGTTCGTTTGTCCAAATTTCTGCTTTGCGCTTCAAGCATGGCAGTGCTCTGCTCCCCTAGGCCCAAAGAGGACTGTGGCTTCAAAGGCATTGATGAATGTTCCCGTGCAAAGCCGCAACCAGGGCCAACAACGTGGCTATCGCTGGGTTGGCCTAAGATAGAACGGGGGCGAGGGTTTCGGGTGATAGCCACGGCCCTAGGACTACTTTCAGTGGCGCCGTGAGCAGCAGCCGCGACCACAGTCGATGCAGGGTTCCTCTGAACATTCGGAACCAAAGTCAAGAAGCCCCCCTTTTTGAAGGCACCCCTACCTCCTTTCATGCAAAAGGGGGACTGGCATAAATGCAAGTTGGGCAAGTGCAGACCTTGTGTGTCAGGGACAAGAGCTGGATGTGAGACGATCCGCGGTCTTTTTGTTGTCGCTCTATGCGATGTTCGTTCAATATATCCGGCTGTCTGCAGTCAATTTGTGAGTGGCGTTGGGGGACTCACTCATTTTTTCCCGAAAATAGAAAACAGGGGACTCCCTAGTTTCCCTGCGTCTGGAAGGGTATTGGTGTATTTGATCGTGGGTGCTGCGTTTCTATCAGATGATGCCACTACCACCACTACCATCACTACCACCACTACAACCACTATTACTCTGCAACCGCTACCACTACCACACTACCACTACCACTGCCGCTGCCACTGCCGCTGCCACTGCTACTGCTGCCCCCACCCCAAACACCGCCACCACTCCTCCTCCAGCTTGCATATTGCGACTCTGGCAACTCCGAAGAGGCCTCTGGTCCAGCCAGTACCACTAAGTCACTACTCCTCCTTCTGCTGCGGTCCATGACTCGACCGCTCCAAACCACCGCGACCTCGACCCCCGCGCCCGAGGCCGCGCCGCGACGCACTGCGGGAGGCGCGGGCGGAGCGGCGCCAGCAGCTCGCGGCGAGGAGCCGGAGGCGAAGCGTCCGGGGGGGGGGGGGGGGGGGGGGGGGGGGGTCGTTGGGTGCTGACGCGCAATGGGTGCGTCTTTTTGCTTAAGGGGGGCTTAAGGGGGGCTTAGGGGCCCAACAGTGGCTTCGTTTTTTGTGTTGCCCATAGTTGTTTGTTCCCTTTGCCCAAGACACTTTTTCCGGACTCCTTTTCAGCACCTAGACAACAAACAACTTTTATGACAGATGTCTTCAGATCAGATAATCCGGAGAAGCTACACAAAAGTTACTTCGCAAGGGGACGACACCAATTCATCCGAACTCAACGTTGCTTAGCGCGTGTGTTTTGTTTTTGGTTAAGATCATGTCTACTGGCTGTAGATATTCATGCCTTGTGCCAACATACTGCTTGAAAAGGCAACAACAGAGGTTCAGTACATACAAACACGACTCTCCCATGATGAGGCGATTTGGAAGCTGGCAGAGCCACCAGTCTTGTCTTCCTTAGTTGGTTTTAGGGATTGTTTTGCTTTTGTCTGTGGTGAGTATTCAGGCAACCCTTACTTGGTGATTTGAACCCCTGGCTTTTGGATAACCTGGGACACCACCCCATAAGCATCCAACTACCAATCCAAACCACAAAACCTGAGGTTGTCCATACTGTCAGAAACACAAGATGGGCATGTCTTCTTTTTGTGGGTGCCCCTTTTTGAGATTGGTGTTGCGTGAACCCAGCAGGAAGACCTCTTGGGGGTCCTACCTAGAAGCAATCAAACAAGCCATCCAGCAGATTGGCCACGAGAAAACCAGCAGGGCTCCATAGGGGGTCGCTTGGGGCCCCCGTGAGCTGTTTAAGCATAATTCTCAATCCTTTGGTTTCGGAAGGGGTCGCTCCCTCAGTTTTCCAGAAGTCCCTCTCCCCTATTTAATCCTCCCTTGATCCTTAGCCCGAAGGCTTAGTTGATAGTTTCGCCCCCAACTCCCCTCCCAGCCTAACCAATGTAGGCGCCTCCCGCAGAATATCCAATAAGCTGTTAACCTTATCAGTTTGCTGTAAGATTTGTCTTTAGAAACTCGCACATGCGAACACAATTTTAGGGGGGCTCTCAATTTCGCAGGTTCACCGCTTTCAAGGCCACTGGAGACCTGGGCGAATTCTACTCCACTCAATTTATTTGAGCTTGATGGTGTCCCCTCCCTTTCCCCCGCCTTTTGTGGCGTGCTTTGCAGACTTTTCCAATTTTTCCTCCAACTTTTTATATGTTTTGCAGGTTTCTGCGTATTTTTCTCCGGACCGGTTTGGGGGGGGGCGGGGGGGTTTCACGTGCCTTCGCCCCTGCGCGCAGGCGAGGCTCGGCGCGGGCCGCGGCTCAGAGCACCCGACGCCTGGAAGAGGCGGCCGTGCAGCAGGCGTGCTGTTTCTTCATAGGTCGGACCAGGGAACAGCTCAAGAAGACCACTTGGCCATGGGGCATAACCTATGGCGATCCCATTTTAGGTTGGAATCCATTTGCCACCTATTTTGATGTTCGCCAGGGGTACAGGGTTTTGACCCACCGCCACTTTATTTTGGAAAAGCCCCCGATTTTCCACTTTGATGGTTGGAGGGCTACACCGTTTTCGGTGGAAGATTTGGAGCCTCAAAATGGGTTGCCCGTTCTGTAAACGGGTTGCCAAAGACATTCAAATCTGCGGTCCAATTCCGGTTTCATTTTGACCCATCTGACAACGGGTCTTTGGACTTTAGCTTTTTGGTAACGGACCCGAGTTTCCCTGTGGGGGCCACAAAAAGTGATTCACGGTTTGAAGGTCAACAACAACCAAGTAAATGTGTTTTCTTTCCCTGTTTTTTCTTCTTTTAAAATAAAACACAACAAAAGAAAATAATTAATAAAGTAAACAATTCCTTGGTTTCCCTCGGAACCAATGTGGTGTCACTTGAGCTCAGCAGGTTTGGATTTGAACAAACATCTTGTGGGTAAATGGGAACCCGCTAACCTTACGGAAGCTGAGTCTTTTGGTTCTACCAGGATGGGTATAAAGGTTCAAAGCTACGTTCTGTTGGGGGGTTATAGCAAGCCTCTATGGGTCTGTCTTGCAACCCCAAAGTGGGCACGCTAAAAGCAAGGCACCCCTCAGCAGTGTTGAATGGGTGTGTATTTCTGAGTTGGCACCCATTGGCACCCTTGTTGGCTTTAGAGGGACACCAACAGCGCCAAAAGGATGCCCATTTTGGGGGTTCCCCCCATTTTGAGACACAAGCCGTCTCTAAGAGACGCCAACAAAGTCAACAACCAGCCAACCAACCAACCAATCAACCAACCAACCAATCAACCAACCAACCAACAATCCAGAGGAGATAGTTTCAGATTCTTCTGCTCAGGCGGAGACGCCAGAGGCGCGCGCCGCCTGGCTGCGGGAGGCAGGGCGTTGAATTTAAAGCCTTTCGGGGGGCCTCGTGGTCTCCGACGTCGAATCGGGCTGGGGAGTTGTATGACTATGGTGGTGGGTCAACAGCAATGGGATCCCATTTTGGGTTAGGTGAATGCACCACCCAAATTTTAGAACCGATTTTAGTGGGGATTGGTTGATGTTCATTCAAAGTACGGGGTCTTGACCAGCCATATGTCCCTTGTTGTAAACCTCAGAGTTTGTGCAGCGGAGATTCGATTTCCTACCCAAACTGGGCTGAACAAGGGAGAGGCGCCCCGGATCCCAACAGAGCTGGAAAAGGTGAACCTTGTGGAGCCCTGACTCAACATGAACCCCAACTGGACCAGCAACACGTCATGCGGGTGTCAGTGAGGCCTTTTGATTTGTTGAGCCATATGGTTCCCCTCCAGTCACAACAACTACGTACATGGTCGCAAAACAAAACAACCGTTGCAATTGATTTGGTAGGGTCAAAGCACTTCTATACACCTCAGCTCCCCCCAACCGCTGCTTTTTGAACAGTACTTGGGATTTTGGACATGGGAAAAAGCTGTTGTGCGTGGTCTGAGGTACCCTTTTTGGGGTTGGTGAGGGAAACAAAGTAAGCAGCCACCATTTCGGGGTGTCGGATTAGACACATTCAATCGATCCAACCACTTGCAGTTTTCGCCGCCCGCAACGTGGAGCCAAGGAAGATGGTTCCCAAGCAAAAGTTCCATCGAGTCACGAGTCTTTGCCGGTGTCGAAGCCTTTTGACTCTTTACAAATGAACCTGGAACCCCCAAAAGGTTTGTTTTTCTTTTCTGCAGCTTCCTCTAGAACCGATGGCCTTTGGGGCGTTCCTCATACCAAGCCTGGGGCGTACCCGTCATCCTTCCCGTCCTTTCCCTCAGGTGGATAGCGTGAACGTGCGGAGGCAGTCCAAGAACCGCCAGCGAGGCCCCCAGCCAACCGTGGAGGGTGGCTTCCGTGGGGCCTCCCTTTTGAAACCATCCGAATGCGTGGCTCAACCAAAATGAAACACGAGGGGGCAAACCGCAGGTTTGGAAGTCCAGGTTTCCACTGACCGGGGCAAGCCATTTTGGACTTCCGGTTTTTTGAGCCACAGCCATCTGATACACCCACGGTGCATGTGTTGTGTTTCACCCAGTGCATGTGTTGTGCTTCACTGGTGCAGGTGTTGCTGGTTTGCCAGTTGGTCCCCGGAAAAAGCCGCGATGCTTTGGGAGAGAGAGTGACCTGGAAAGCTGTCAATCCACCCGATCGGACGTGAGTGTCGGGTGTGAGATCGATCCCCACCCCAAGGCCAGGGAAGCCCTTGATGGATGCGCCGGTGGGCTATCGCAGCGTGCGAGACCCGGATGGAATCCAATCGGCCGGCAGTTACGCAGTTGACAAATACCCCTGGCTGGACTTGGGATGAGAACAACCCCAGAACTTTATGGCCATTTGGTTATTTGGTTGGATCTTTGGTTTGGCCGCCCCGAACCAGTTGCAGGCCGGGCTCATAGATAAGCCCTGATAAGATTGTTGTCCAGCGCGCAGTCCAACGCCGGTTTTATTTTTTCCAGGCTTCCTGGTTGTGACTGGCGCAGCCAACTTGGCCATCTGCAGGGAACGTCCCACTTCACCCTTGCAGGGAGAGGAGCATGCGCAACAGCAAGCTTTTTGAGTTCATTTCACCACCCTATCAACCTCACCACTTTCGTCGTTTGAGCCCAGTTTCGGAGTTTCGGCCCTTGACAGTCATAGGAACCCGTACCCTCACTTCCCAAGTTTCAGGACTGAACACATGCTGGGGAGAAAATCTGCGGGTGAACAGAAAGCTTAGGTTCGGAACTTGTTGGGGCCAATCCGATCGGGAAGTACGTTTCTGCAACTGAGCATGAGTGCTGCGGAAAGCGGGTCCTATCCAAGATCAGATAGGCCTGCGTCACCGCCAGCCGGCCAAGTTGGGCCAATCTATCGACAGGTGCGGTCGTCGCAGGGCGACACCGTCGCAGTCCCCATCTTCCGAGCGCCCGAGGGCGGCAGGCGAGGTCTTATCACCCCTAGGGCTACGGGGGGGCTATCCCTGGATAGGCCCGGGATAAGCCAAGGCCTTAGCAAGGCATCAAAGGATATCGCCCTCCCCATAGCCCATAGCCCATAGCCTCCAAACGAGTGATCTAGATCCCAGTTGCCCCCAGGAAACCCTTTGCCACTGGGCAGCCGTTGGTCTCCTAAACAAGGCAAACCAGGAAGTCAATGTCCATTCTTTTTCAGGACCTGTCCTTGTTTTACGTTTTTGGTGGCTTTCCGGAAAGGGGGGATTCCGGGAGCTTAACTATGGCCTTGGACCGATTGGGGCTCTCCCCAGGCTCCCAAAACCGCGCATCGCAGAGACAAGGAGGGAGCAGCATGTGTCAAGCAAAATGGGACGCGTGCATACAGGACACGAGCACGGGGCAGAGGGGGGGTCGCAGAAACCGCTTTTGGGCTGGAGGGGGCAGCCCAAACAGAGGGGCTCCACCACAGAACAGTGCACCAGTCCCAAAGTCTGCGTTATACTTGCAGGGACGCACAGGTGATGCTGGGGATGTTACAGGTGATGCCTGGACCTTGCATCACCTACATCCGCATTGAAATTCGAGTTCGGTCCAAATGTTGACCTATGCCCCCGGCGTTTTTGCAACATTGACGCGATGTTTGCTTGACGCGTGCCCCTTGCCTCTCCCAAACGCACGCGTTTTTCTTTGAGAGCCCGCCTCACCTCCTGCTCCCTCTCTTTCCCAAAACGCGGTTCGAAACCCTTCTTGCATGCCAAACCCTGTTCCTTCCCGGAGCCCCTCTTGCATGCCTGCTGTTTTTTTTGAGCTGCCCCGTCCCTCCCTCCCAAAAACGCGGTTTTTAACACGCGGTTCTTGGGAGCCCCCCTTTTCCATGTTACATGGAACTGGCTCGAGTTTGGTTCTACGCCTTCTGATAAACTACCAACTTGTTCAATCCTTTTGCCTTTCGGGGGGGGGGGGAATGGGGCAGGGCTAGGGCTGCTCCATAAGCCGCGCGCTTTTTTCCGGAGCCAGGACTTTTGCTTTTTCTTCAAACCGATGCAAAGGGCCCAAAGTTGAAGAATTTGCCATGTGCGGCCTCGGACAGATCCGAACGCCGGCCAGATACTATGTGTCGCCGCTGACCTCCAAGCGTGTGGCCATCCCCTGAGCGCTGGCGGTAGAAGCTCATTTCAGAGTCTCCACTGAGCAATGGGGCCATTCCCTCGGCTGTCCTTTTGGTTGTTTGGTTGGATAGTTTGGGAACTTGTGCGCGCCTTCGCGCTCTAAGGTTAAACATGTTGCATAACAAGATGTCAAGGTAACAAAGAGGCGGCTGAAGGGCTTGGAGGCTGTTTTCCATGACGATTCCGAGGAAAACGGAAGGTCAGCGCTCCGGGGGGTCGACCGACCAACGCTTTCCGACATGGCTGCCAGTTTTTTTGTGAGCAAGCTTGTGGGAAAGTCCTAGCAGTTGGGCAAAAGGTGTGGTCCTCTGAGAGAACCCAATTTTCAGTCAGTTTGATGGATCGGGGGAGGTGTCCGCACGCTTCAAAATCGAGAGCCGGTCTAACGTGTTGCGTGGATCTGGTTCAGCCTATCACGAGATGAATCTATCGCTACTGGAAATAGGTTCTTGTTCCAGGGGAAGAAGCGCGTGTAGCTGCTGTAAAACTGTTCATGGGAAATCAGGATAGATAAATTCCTGGTTGTTTCATTCAAGGATTTCCGATGATAAAACCGTGGTCGACCTGTTAACCTTTTAGTTTTCCTGGTTTGGTTGGTTTTAGGTCACAGCCCCAAAATATTTTATTCCCAGGCCCTGTTGGCAGGTAGCAAGTGATGCTTGCTTGTTTGCTTATGGCGTTCAGGAACCCGGCCCAGACTGGGAAACAACTTTTGGACCAGGATCAACGCCAGGTGAATTCGAAAGCCAATCCAAACCGTCAATTGTTTGGATCGGAGGTTTGTTTTCTTCAGACCCCTGAACCACCACTCGCAGGGTAAATTGGGGTAAAAATATCCGTTATATAGCGGCCATGTATTCCATTCAAATTGTGGGGAAGCGGTTTGGGGGTAGTGGAAACCCCTTAGATTCAAGGGGTCGCCTCAGGGTTCCACTTCAGGGCACTTCAGGGGTCTGCATTCGGGGCCGGCTGAGCCGCGAATTCACTCAAGGACCAGCTCCGCGGAAAGACCAGCATCTTATGAACCTGAGCCAGCTGCTTTGTGTTGGGCCAAAAAAACAAACAAAGCCCGGCGCCCATTTCACCCTACCTGGACTTGGCTGGCCCTTTTCAACAACAAACATCATGTATATTTAAAGAGGAATCGTCTTTCTTGGGTTCCATGTTTATTCCATTTATTCCTATCGGTTTGCGACCTCGTGTCAGCTCATGTAGGGAACGCTGTGATCTCCCGAAATGCTTAGCGGATTCGGAGACCCTTTTGGGACGCCTACTTCTAGGTTGCCAATGGCTGTTGATGCCATCGCCGGGGTTGTTCAAGACCTGACAGGCGGCAAGTGCCACATCGTGGAACCTGTCAGCGCGGGTTAATCATGTCAGCTCATGCAGGGACCCTTTGATCCTCTTCCTTTTTTAGACATATAATATAGGCATCCCCGTCGCGCCCTGAATTGTCTTGTTTTTAAGCCAAAGGAACGTCGCCCATATTATGGATCTTATGGGGTTCCTTTTTTGGCTTGGGCAAACCAAAGGAACCGATCCATCCTCGGGGGTTCCCAGGAGACCGAGCCATCCTCGGCTTGCGTGTCAGACCAATTCGATGCCATGGATGAGTGCGCCGCCTGTGCGGACGGCATTCTGGACTCCTTGCGCCAGCTCCTGCGACTCGGGCACAGGAACCGTTGCATCGCCAGACTCACGAGACCTGCAACTGTTTTTTGTTTTTTTTCCTCGAGTATCCCCAATGCATTGTGGAATCCGACTCAACACATGGCTGACATGATTTTGCAGTGTCGGATCCGTTTGGCCTGGCCATTCTGGGGGTATCCCATTCTGAGACAAACCCATACAATTCTACCGGACCAAGAGGACGCCACAAGAATCCTCTTTTTCGGGGGGGGGATGTTCAGATGAATCACGCAACACCCCCTCAACCAGCTTGTTTGTGGTTTTCCTCCATGTTCCTTTCAACCAGCAACAAGTTGCACTTGCAGTCGGACCAGCAAAGATCACTAAATCTGTGGAAGTTTTCATTTTACCCTTACTCATTTCAAGGTTATTCCTATTTTGGGATGCAACAATGGAACACACTCACACTCAGAAATGATGTTGGAAGGGATTGGCGGAGTGACCCAGCTGTATGGGAAGAGCCCAATTAAAGCACCAGCGCTGTGACCGAATCGCCTCTTCATGGAAGCCGAAGGCTTTCCATACAAAGAGGACACCGACCTTTAACTCTCGTTTGTTGGAGGGAGCAACCGCAAGTGTAATACGGGAACCCGTCCGCAGAAACAGGTGGTACGTAAAAGTAAGGAAGGTGTGAAGATTCATGTCAATGTGTGGATTTGTCTCAATCTCTGGGGCGGGGGAGGGGGGGTGTGGGACCTCAGAATGGTTGGTATGCTGTTCCTTGACCCGCCAAACCATGTGGTATGCCCAAACCTCAGAACTTGCCCTTCCGGAAGCCTCTGCTAACCACTCCGGAGATCTGGGCAAAGACTCAAAGACTGGGGGGAGCAAAGCGCCTCACTCCCTGAGTTCCCGGACTTTGTACCTTTTGGGAACACAGATCAATCCAGAATCCACTCAGAGGAGAAACGTGCAGTGGAAACTCCACTGGGTTGCCTCAAGGTCCAAGGGTGGCCCCCTCCGCCCCACGGAACACGTGGCTTGGGCCAAGGGCCAAGGTCCAATGGATTTGGGTTTCTTCAGGAACGCTTTGGCCTGCCTCGTGCCGGGCCCGGTGGGCCAAAACGTGGCCACCGACGCCACCGACGCCCGGTCTCTGCCAGCCCTCAGCAAGGCGAGCTCGCTCGGGGTCCCCGTGGCGAAGGGTTCGGGGTCCGATGGGAAACTTGGTTCCCAGCCATCCCCAGAGGCTTTGAGCGGTTTAGGGTTTAGTGGTAGCTTCCACAATAGCCACTAGAAGTTCAACTTTTGGCAGTGGATCTGAGGACAGCCCCGGAAAGATCATGTACTGCTTTATCACTTTGAACGGGATTTGCTTGGCATCGCCCCAAAAGCCTGTTTCTGGTAGAAGCCTCAAAGAGAAACTACTGGAGATGGCCACCGCTCAAATCGTCTTCCAATGACACTGTTGCTCGTGGATGGCCAGACATTCTACGTTCCTGAACTCAATGAAGCAGTTCAATCGAACGTTTCAAGTTCACCGACCCCATGGAAAGACAGTCGCATGAATCGACTCTGAAACCACAGTCTTCCATGATGAGGTCCCTGTTGCTGAACACAAAATTATGGAGAATGTGTCCGAGGACGGATCTCTCACTTCCCCCAAACATCACAAACAGCTTCTCTTACAACCATGTGCTCACATGGCCATTTTCTAAGGAAGCCCTTTGCTTTCCTCTTGGTGTCCGAAATTGGGATCCGGTTTCCAAAAGCTGGGAGCTCCTCAGGGTGGGGGGGGGACCGGCCCGGTGGATTTCCAGGACACGCGCTCCATGGTTTGGCGTTGAACCAGAACGCCGCCGTGAAGTTCCAGCAAAAAAAGAGCTTGGCGGCCTTTTAACAGCGCGAACCCCCTGGAATTCTTTCCTTGGGGTGGGGAAACCCTGTAAAAAATCCGCACCACAAGGGCGCTCTTCCCTTCAAGCGCTCAGGACCCCTGGGCCCCTCATAGCCGACTGGGGTCTCCAACATAGAGGGTTTGGGGGGCAGGGGTAGACTGCACAAGGCACCAACTTGTTATCCAGCCGAGTCGTTCTTCGGTGCTCATTTTATGCGATGTTTCATGGCTCGGATGTCGCATAATTCAGTGTCTGTGGGTAAAAACCAATGGTACCATTTTGGGGTAGGTGAATTCACCACTCATTTGAATCTATTTGAGTGGTTGGATTGGCATGTTCACTGGTACGTACGAGTTGGGTTTTGACCCATGGCCTTACCTTTCCGGAAGCCCAAGAAGAAACCATCCGGCGCTCCGGAGTCGGGCAGCTCGCCCTGAAGGCCTTGAAGAGGCTGTGGTTCGAGACGAACCTGGAGGCGACGAAGGGGCTTCGGGGGAAGGTTTCAGTGGCGAAGTGAGGCCCATTCGACCCCCCCCAAGCGGAATTTGGGGGGGTTGATTGGGGAAAGGGCCGAAAACGAAAAGAGCAAGCGCCGGGCGGCGAGAAGATTGATCCATCTTGAAAGGCTCCATTTAGGCGCAATACTTGCCATAGTTGCCTACATATGCCTACTGTTACCACTAAGACTCTCCAAATGCAATAAGCATCACCTACCTGGAGCCTCAGAGATCTGTTGCGCTTTTTCGTATCTTCCTGGCGGGGTTGAAGTAATCTCACCTGACACCTGCGGTGAAGCGTCACAAACTCCTTGATAGGGAATCTACAGAATGATTTCAAGGGTTTCTATTAAGAGAAGCATGACCACGACCCTCCGGAGCTTCTTGTTTTTTTCATTGGACATTTAAGAGCTGACAAGCTCAGATCTATTTGCCTGTAGTCAAGGGAACACTGCGCTTGTTCGGGACCCGACAACTGGGACCCAGCCTGTCAGAAGCGCCACGTTCTGATCCGGCAGTTTCAGTCCGTCAATGCGACGTGCGCTGCATTTGACGCTTGCGCCGTGAAACATCTGGACAAACTCAAAAGAGCACCTACGTGGTTGACGAGCTCACACGATAAAGGTCCTTTGCTCGGGGGTTCCCCCCCCCCATATGTCTGGTGATTCGCGCACTAAATAGCACAGACCACGCGGCTCGAACCGCTGGATTCAGGCGGAAGACTGGTGTGAGGAGCGGCAGGCGATCTGGCTAAGCAGCCTGGCACGTCCTTTTGGCGGTGCCAACTTGGGGTTCAGTGACGAGTCTCTTTTACCGAATTGTTTGTGTCTGATCTTGCGGAACCGGTGCAAGTTGTTTTGTTGAAATCAGCCGCTTGCGCATTCCTCATTTTGAACTCATTTTGGTGTTTTGTTCACAGGCGAAGCGAGCAAGCAAGCGAGTGAGCGACTGGTGATTCCAGAGAAAAACACCACGGTCCCCTTGTTTTTTTTTGGAATGTACACTGGACTCCACGTGTTTATTTTTTGAAATCACACCTTTGGGTTTCGAATTCACGCGTGGGGGCTCCGGTGTGTTGCTAGTGAAACCACGCCTGGGGGTCCCCGGCCTTTGACTTCACGCCCCGCCTTTTTGTGTGGCTCACAATCAACATCAAGGTCGGTTTCCGCCCATGTTCCCAAGAGAAACCGAGAAAAGCAAACAACACAAACACCGGAAAACAAAAAAACACAAACACACAAATCAAAATGCAAAAGCAAAAAAAGACACACACACACACACACCGCTGGAGCCCCGAAAGCCGCAGCACGCTCTTGATCTCGAGGCCAGCTGCTGCTGATCCTCGCGGGGTCCCGGGAGGCCATCTTGTCCTTCTACGCCGCTGGCCTGCTGCTGAGACTCGGCGGAAGTCCGCGGTTTTTGGTCAGGCGACGCCGTAGGCGGTTTTTGCGGTTTCAGTTTGTGGTTGGGTCTTTGTTGCTGTCGGCAATGAGACTAAGCTCACTGCCTGAGTTGGAGTTTGAAAAGTTAGTAGGTGGTTAGCCACCCAGGAAGTTAGTAGGTGGTTAGCCCCTTTTTTTCACCCGTTAACAAGGTTAACCCCACGCGAGGGACTCAAAAATGGGTTATATGCTGTGGATGCACGAAATCTTGCATCACTTGGGCGGATGAAACCGCACAAACCAGGGAATAGACAACCTACCAACTGGTGCAGGATTGAGTCAGTGGGGAACCCTGCGTACTGCCGTACAGGGTACTGCAGCCATGCCAGGTTCACTACCACATGTTTCAAGCTTCCGTTTGCTTAGCTTGACTGCTGTTGAGTTGGATCTTTAGACTTTAACTTTTTGGGAAATCAAGGCGTTTCCACCAAACCCCCCAAAAGGGGTCAACAGCAACCAAGTTAGGAATATGGTTTATTTTCCCCTGTTGGTATTAAAATGTTTGTTTCACGCAATTGATCACGCTATATTTTTCCCAAGGGACTTAGGCAAATGAAAGGTTGGTTTGGGGATACGGGGAAATTAGCAGGATTGTTGTTCTACAAGAAATGGCGGTTTCTCTTTAAAAGAGGCGTACAGTGATTTCAATTTCGATTTTCCTTAGACCGAAACCCCCACTCGTGTCCAAGGGGAACCACGAGACCGATGCCAGGTGAACTCAACTTTCCGATTCCAGGGAGTCCTTCGCCATGTTGGAATCTCTGTATCTCTCCGGATTTGCTCAGATTGCTTCACAACTGCTCAGCTCAGGTTTTTTTGGGGTTGCAACTTCTTATAGTTTTTGTTTCGGCTCGGTCGCTGGATTTAAGGCTTGAAACTTGGACCCGTCACTCATGTTCGGCTTTACAGAAGGGCAACTCCAATTTTCAGATGTCGGACGTCCCCCCCTTTTGGGTCTGGGCCACGTGACCCGCTGGGTTTCACAGATCTGGGACTTGGGCTTTGCGTAGGTCTCCTGTTCTGGATTTTGGTCGCCCTGCCTAGTGGATGATGGGATTCGGATCAGCCAAGTTTTCCAGATTGTGATTGGCAACTTCCATTTGCTTAAGATTGCGTGTTATTTTTCCCTGTTGGTCTTAAAGGGAACCTATCACTACTAGAAATATGGTTATTTGTTCCACGGGGCTTAGGTAAATGGAAGGCAACGTGGGTATCAATTTGAGTGTGGGACGCTGTGGAGGCCAACGTTTTTCAGTAGGAATTGTTTTTTTTTTTTTTTAATATATATATATATAGAAGAACTGCGTTTTTCATGTAGTACAGAGCATTTTAGTGTTCCATTGTAGTTCTGTGAACAGAAGGGTGTAAGGCTTTATTGGGCTGACCACAAGAGATCTACTTGCAGTAATTGTGTTGGTGAATTATGGAGGGTGCAAGTAGGAGATCTCTTGCCTCCAGCCACATCGCCCTCTAGCTCCCATGCAATCTAGTTGCACCCAACGGGCGACGGGAGAAGCGCTGCGGAGGCGATACATGTTTGCTTTGTTTTTCTTTAAAAAAAATAAATAAAAAAATATAGGATGTAAAAAACAGGCCTCCACAACGTCCCATTCGGCAATTTTAGCAACAGACCCTTGGGCGTTTGAGAGGTTCCCCTGGTGCATGCCTAGGTGCAATTCTCTGCAATGCTTCGCGCGGGTGCTCTACCCCCACGCGGCTCGATCTGTTCCGAAGCGGCTAAAAAGATTTGCTCCCGAAGGTTGCAAAGAGGTCTTTTTTCAAGCACCCGCTAACATGGAACCCACCAAAAGGTCCCTTGTGAACATGGTCTTCCAGGACACTTGACACATCTCATGTTAGGTGGCAGGGATGCTTATTGAAACCAAGGCGGAATCCCGACCCACTTTGAGCAGCGCTATCACACTCCCGGACACAGTGTTACAGGATCGAGGGCGCATGCCCCTTTTGCAAAACGGGCGGGTTTGAAGGTAATGGGGAAAGAGAATATGGAGCACCCCTATTTATCATCCCTTTATCGTCCCTTTATCATCCCTGTATCACCTTACCCAACACCACTTGTCAATCCTTTTCTGCCATGGACATGAAGTCGGGGATGGAATGAGGTTGAGATCTTTTGGGCAAGATCGGTTTTGTTTCAAGACTTCACACCCCACCAGAAAGTGGTCATATATGCCACTTCAGCTCAAATTTTGAGGTGCCCGGAATGAAAGGCTACCAACGTGAGCTTGAATCCCATTTAAGGGAGTTGGCTCCTGGAATGCCACAAAAAATAATGGGAGCAGAGGTGACCACAGAATATTTTTCTTGGATTCACACATTCCCCGTGAGCCCTGTTGTGTGCATCGACACTGGATCGACAAGCTCATTTGGAACCCACAAAAACCCTACAAAAGCTATGGTTTGACGGGGCAGCTGGCTGGCCCCCTCTAAAGAATCAATGCCGCAGCCTGGTTTAAGGGGGTCACAAACCACGAGCCACCTGGTGCCGCCATACTTTTTAGTTGCTTGGTTGTGCCTTCAGTTGTTTAGTTCCGTTCATTCTTGATCAGCTTGAGGGTTTCCTTGCTATCGTACCAAGGTTTCCGCCCTGTTCTGAACTTGTCGAAGGTGCGCTTTTCTGAAGTTCCACAGATGTTTTGGTGCCAAGGTGGGCATGGAGCTGGATGAGCCTTGGCTGCAGAACCTCCTGGCCGTGCAGACTGCCGTGGAGCGTGCCTCGGACCTCGGACGTTGGGTCAATCAGCACGCGGCCGGCAGGATTTTGTGTTCTTCCCCAACACCAATTCAGGTTTCTGCAGATCGCATCCGAAAAAGAACGCATTTCCCCAACAGCTGAAAGATGGTCGATAGGCCCGCCCGTGCCGTTCCAAATTGAACACCAAGGGTGGCTTTCTTTTTACTTTCCTTAAAAACACACAAGGGCACCCTCCAAAAAAGCAGCGCCCAAAGCAGTTTCGAGAAATGTGGATGTGTCTCTCTTTTGTAGGGGCCCCTCAAAATTCCTGCTAAGTCCTCTTTGACACCACCCAAAAGCGGGTAACTCCAACAGAGACACAACCAAATTTGTTTTACGGCTGGCCCAAAACAGAAAAAATCAAGATGGTATTTTCAACAGCCCGAAACTTTGCTGGAACCCTCCGGAACTCCGGAGAGGAAGACTGCCCCAAACCACCCCTTTGCCGGGGTCTGGGGAATCCTGCAGGTTCCTGGAGGTTTCCTTACGTACCGCTTTCTGGGTTCACAAGACATATCACGAGGAAAACCGATGCGCATTCCACTCAGTTCCCTTGGAGCTGAACTTCTCACTCATGGTTTGAGTTGCCTGTACGGTCACAAAAACCCGAAGTAGTCTTTTCATCAAGACTAAAAACGCAAATATCTGCATCTCTGGTGAGTATATCCTTCATCTACCCGGGTTTTCTTGATTTTTTTCTTCCCTTGAAAGGAGCGGGGTTCAACATCCCAGCCGATGTTTTTCTCGTTGAAGTCGCACATGCGTTTCGGGGAATATCAAGGGACTACTAGGGAATACTGAGGGAGTACCTGATGAAGGCTTGGACACACTTCACTCCTCAATTGAGCATACCTCATGCCATTTTTTCTCAAGGACTTGATCCAAGATGTTTGAGCGATTTGGCTGTGCATACTGACAAGGCGCTACTAGCAACTGGTGTGTACCTCGTCCGTGGTGGGGTCATGTGAGTTGGCGACCTCCCCCCACTCTTGGACTGCCCATGCTGCCAAACCCCATGTGAGCGCCGTGATGGTTCTATCGGGGGGGTTTGGGCTAGGCGAAGCGTACTGGCCCAGGCAGGTGAGAATTCCAACTGTATGGGCACGCACCATACCGGCTTCTCTGAGCTATGTGGCGGGACATGTGCGTTGATTGAAAAAGATTGAAAGAGACTTAAATGTAAACTCGGGGTGGGTTCAAGATTCCCTGGAAAAGTTTGACCTGCAATCTTGAATCTGGGCCTGGATTATTGAAGGAGATTGAAATTTAAATCTGGGCTTGGATTCAAGATTCCCTGAACCTTGAATCTTGAATCTGTGCCTGGGTTTAACAAAACTGAAGGAGATTGAATTTTAAATCAGGGCCTCGATTGACACCGATTGACAGTTTGAATTGTGCCTAAAGCATCCAAAATGTCCTTGTAAATACACTTGTTTTTGCTGCTTTCCCGAGAGCGCTGGAAAAGGCAGAAAACCGTGCAAAAGCAGGGAATCCTCCAAACAGGTAGGTCCCGGGGGGGTATATATACATATATATATATACATCCGCAGGGGCCCTGGCTCATGGGAGCTCCAGCTTCAATCTTGCAAAAATCCAACCCCATTTCATTCTTTGAATTGGTTTCGATACGCTCGCTACCTGATCCTGGGCACATTGTTTTTTGGGCACCCCGGAAGGTTGTAGCATCTAGGTTTGAGAGATCCGTGCCTTGTTTTCTGCCGCCACCCAAAATACCTTCAGGCCACAAAGGAAGGGGTTTGTTGGGGGTCCATGTTGGCACATGCTTTATTTGGTTGTGAATTTTTGCTAGGGCGCCACCTCAACAGTGTTCGGTGGACGTGGATCCCCACCTACATGATCTCCACCAAACGGCCCCCAACGAACCACCACACCCGTTTGTGCCTCGTGGCCTCGCGCTTTTTTCCGATGACTTCCCGAGGCGACTTCCAGCAAGAGCTTCAGTACTTGCCAGCGGACCACCTGGGCGGCAGCAAGCGGGATGCCATCGTGTCCACCAACCGCCGGGCCCCAAGGATTCGAACATTTCCGACTTTCGTGGCGGCCCCGGCCCGCCAGGATCGATCCAATTCCCCTTCCAGTGACCTCTGCGTTCCCTCCTCCTCTTGAAGGATCCAATCTACGGCTTTCTCCCGGCATTTTTTTTTGTGGGTAGAGCACCCCTCTGCGAGTGGTGTCCGAAACCAGCAGTGTGCTATGAGCCCTTTGATCAAATCCACTGGGTTTCCTCTGAGTTTCGCGGGAACTGGCCGCTCTCCCCTTCGACCGCTTGCTCGGGGTCTCTTTTGGCGCGAAAAGGCCATAGTTTCTCCGATCCCCTGGCAGTGGACGAGATAAAACCTTTCAGTGGGTTACCTATGTCAGTGAAGCTGGGCGGTTTCTTGCCGGTTTTTTGGGGAAGCAGGTGGGAAGGGGAGCGGGGGGCTCGATCCCAGGTTTGCCTGCGCTCTTTCGGCGCATGTTCGACCTCGAGGGGCACAAGCTCACACCCGCGCAGCGCCTCGATTCCACGGAAGCCAAAGGGAAAACCACGTATCGGGGTCCATCCCAATAGGACCAATAGGACCATTTCTCGGAAGGCAGCCCACTGTTCTGCGACAAAGGTGCCCAAAAGCAAGGTACGTATCCTTTTTTTTTGAGTCGACCTGCAGAAATTCGGGCCCGATTCTTTTTTGGCGATTTTTCCACAGCGATTACCCCCTTTCTTGGTCATTGTTTGGTTCTTTGTTTGTTGATTTTTTGAGCCACTACCCCCTTTCTTGTTTCTGTGTTTGTTTTTTCCATGGGCGGGTCTCTCTTTTTGTTGAATTTCTCTCCCCCCCCCCTTTGCTTTTTTTTGCTCCCCCGGAAAGCCCACGGCTGGCGTTGCCCCGCCCGCTTAATGGGGGAGCCGCACGGCTTTCGCCACAGGAAGGGCGGCCTGGCGGTGGCGCTGGTGCTGCCGGGCACGGGGCTGCTGACCGCCGGGGGCCTCGGGGCCGCGCTGCTGCTGCGCAAGGCGCGGAAGTCGGCTCCGAAGCCATGCGGCTCCTTGGCTCTTTAGCCTTTTGGATCCTTTTAGTGTATGTTAGAGTCCATTTAACCCACTAGAAGTTGAACTTTTGGGGGGGGATCTGAGCGCAGCCCAGGGACGATTGCCTCGGCGGACATGTTGTCGCCCAACTTGTTGATTCTGGAGTACCTTGGCTTGGCTTACTATAGACTGCAATTTGCTGAAGCAAAAATTGTTTTATTCTCCGCCGTTGGTTTCAAAGGGAATCTGTCGCTGGACATGTGTTCGGACTTTTTCCCGGGGCCCTAAGCAAACGGAGGAGTTTCCAATTTGGGTGGCTCAAAAAAAAACAGCTAGGACACACCGCAGGTTTCAGTCGCTTCCACTTCCCAAGGTACCCCCAGCTGCCCACTTCCTTTTTGGTTGGTTCAGTGGGGGTGTTGATCTTTTTTTTGGAGGTTATCAAAGTCAGAAGTTGAACCTAATTAGTTGTTTCCCTTCAACCTTCGACTGAACGGTCCCCGCGTTTTTTTCTTTTAGGGAATCGATCGCTGGTTCACAGGTGCATTTTCTCCCACCGCGGACAGTGGGGTCTTTGCCCGGATATGTTCCGGACAGTTCCCTGGGGATACTGGTCTTCCAGAGGACTTGAGCAAAGGGACGGCGGTTCTTCCATGGGCTGCCGCTTTCTGGGATTCCAAGCGGGTCCATTTGGCCCTGCCATGTGGAAAACGAGGGTCTAGGAAACACCCTGGGATTCGGTTGGGGCAGATGGACCTGTTAAAGTGGTCGCTCTTCAAATGGAGGGGAGTCTGATCTAAATTGGTTGCTTTGGGGTTTATTTCAGTTCAATCACATTTTTAATGTGAACACGTTTTCTCTTTCTTTTTTTTTGGGGGGGGGGCGGGTCCTCAAACTTATCCTGGGTTATTTGCCTTCACAATTTAGAGGGTAACTTTGAGGATATCAATCTACTGGGCACAGTTTGGTCTTCTTAGGTTTAGGTTGCCACTTTCTGCGACAAGGGAATCCCTTTACCGACAAAGTAGGCGTCATACCTGCAACAGGGTTTCCTTCTTTTCCCTTTTTGAAACCTGCAAAAGTGGCAGTTTTACCGCAAGCCGCCAGTGACCCCTGTGCAATGTTGAGTGAAGGTCCCCGAAGGTGATCGCCATTCCCAGTTTCCAAGTTGCTGGATGCTCAAGATGGGATGTGGAACCCCGAGAATTGTGAGAAAAGCTACCAATCGCCGGGACGAATTCTACTAACCTTCTAACTGTTGGGTTCGGGAAATGTGAACTCCAGGTTGCTCTGACCTTTTGAGAGGGTTCACGTCATGAGGATTACTCTTAGGCCGGAATCCGAAGTCATCCACCAACGGTTCTGGCAACCACCCGTCCTTCGTGTGCCTTACCGGTTTTGCGCGCTATTCTATCTTTCCGTCTTGGGACATGGGAGACTCACTAAATCCTTCCATCTGAAGAATATTGTTTATTTATCTGCTGGGTTTAAAGGGAAATCTATCACTAGAGTACCTCAGGGATTGGCCCTTATTTTTGTTTGACGAAGGCTTGGTGAATTGGATCTCAGGTTGAGGATTCCTTTTGACCGTGGCGAAAAAAAGGACGTGATCCAATGGGACGTCCAGCCTGGGGCCCGCAGGTTTTCCCCACTTGGGGGCCCGTTTTTTTTTCTTCCCCGGATTCTCAGTGGTCTTTGGGGCTTGTGGCTAGGGCTTGATCAGGTTTCGTCACGGGGTGGTCTTCGCCGAAGCGCCGCGGAGAGCCAATTTTTGGAAACTGAGGGCTCCATGAAAACCGAAGGCGATCAATTTGCCCAGGGCCTGGAGCAAATGAGTGGCTCGTTTTTTCAGGGTACCCTTCTTTTGGTCTTCCATCTTCTTAAGAATATGTTGCTTATTTGTCGCCTGTTGGCTTTTTCCAGGGAATCTATCACTGCTTGAAATGTTTTCTTCCAGAGGAACTCAGCGAATGGATGTGGTGGTGTCAAAGGAAAGCCCAAGTCAAAATCAACTTGCGCCTCAAATCAGTGGTCAGGCGCGGCAGGCGCGGTCGGAGGACGACCCCTTGGAGAGGCTCTTCTCGCGCTGCCTGGAAGAGGCGGACAGATTCGCGTGAGATGGCAAGCCACCAGGGTGGGAGCGGTAAGACTACTGAAAAGACTAACAGTCCTTTCTACATCACATCCTAATCTCTTTTCCCCATCTATCACCTCCCTATCAGTCACCTGGAGATAGGTGATGAGGTGATAAGAAGGAAAGAGAGGGAAAAGAGCCATTTCTCCAACCCATTCTCGCCTGATCCTTCCTTCCTTCTATGTCTGGTTCTTTGTGGTAGGAGGAAGGAGAAGGTACAGAATGTAGGATGTGGGACGAAATCCTATAGCCCGCTCTTGGACAAGCCTTTTACCTACCTTCGTCCTTCCATCTTTATCTCGCCAACAGTACATTGCTTAAGAGGCGAGATAGGGAAAGAGAGCTACAATTCCAGAAATTCATTCCCTTTCAGATTACCCAATAATTTTCGGAACCCACCCCATAACCCCATAGAAAGACACCAGCAGGAAAATGGGCATGCCATTTTTCTCTGGTACCCACCCAAATCGTAGTTCTCCTTTGGGTTTCCTTTAAAGCACCCAAAAGGGTACCCCCCAAAAGAATCAGGACAACCCCAAATGGATCGAAAGGTTACCTAAAGTGGCGTGCCACGCCTGGGACGCAGCGGTAGGTGCGGTAGGTGCGGGCGCCTGGCCATTTCCGGCGGTACTCCCTTGGTTTACGAAGGATTGCCAGAAACTTTCATAGGGAGTCTATCGCTACTTGGGACATGTTTATTCGTCAGGAGAAAAAACACATAAAACTCACATGGAGGGGGATAGTCCCCATAAACCTTGGGTTGTTTTTGTTGACTACTGCTCGTCGTTGTTTGCTTTTGTCTTGAACCTGCCAAAAGCAGCGCGGTGCAAACACCCTCCGTTCCATTTTCCATATTTTCTTGGCTTTGGGATCCCTGCACTCATATCGCCTCCCGATCCCATTGATACCAGGGGTTCCCCTGTTTAATCCTGAGCAACACGGAAGTCTCCGAGTTTATGGACTTTGGTTACTTGTCAGGAACCAATTGTTTGTGGGGCAGGCAACTCTTTGGGCTTTGTTTGAGAGTTCCCAAGTACTTAGGAACTCTCAGGAAGTGGGTGTGGCCTACCCAATTTCCCAGACGCCTCCAATTTGTGCAATGATGCTGACTAGAGCCGGAAAACCGGAATCTCCAGTGCTGTTTTGTAGGTAACCCATAGATAGTTGCACCTCTAGCCACTTCATACAATATTTACCCACATGTGCCCTCATGATTCACATGTTTGTATATATTACCCATGAGTTGTCTTTGTCACCTTACATGATCCATTTGTATACCTTACCATGAGGGGGGGGGTCCCATGGTTTGGCTTTTTCACCTTCCATGATCCTGTATGGAAACCGGTGTGGTCCGGGGGAAATCGGAAATCCCATGCGCTTTCCCTCCAACCCATGGCTTGAGCAGAGGCGAGGGGCATTCTGGTCCGGAAGAACAGCCCGGTGGAGTCTCGGAAGGATCCGGGATCTCCGGTACCTGGTTGGTCCGAGGTGCCCCGCGAATCCGCGAATTTGGCGGCGGGGCTGGTGCTGACTTTGGGGTCACGACTTTGAGCGGCGCGTTTTTCGACATCCCATTTTGACCGACTTTACGGCTAAAGTCCAGGATTGTTTCGCTTTAACCCGCTACACATGGGGTGACTTCGACCATGGTAACATCATGGCGCCAGTTTCTGGGGACGGACAGGAGTGAAGCCCCCTGAAACCAAAAAGAACTCGACGGGTTGCATCCTTTTCGCGGGTTTACAGGCGCGCTTCAACCCTCAGAGGGTCAAAAAGTGTGAATCAAATCGCCTGGGGTGGACTCCAGCTTGGGATGGCCGAAAACACCGGATCCTTCAGGTGCATGTTCTTCTCTGAAAACATGGTTGCTGGGAAACATTTTACATGTTTGTTTATTGTGGTTATCCAACCACTCAACTGCTAAAAGTTATTTTTTTCTTCCAACGTCAACCAAGGAAAGGGGTCAAAAGGCAAAGTGACTTGTAGCAATGCAGCGCGTGTTGTGGACATGTGCCACACGAGGGCTTATGGACAGGCAGCTCGTCAAGATGACTTGTGTAAGGAGTTTTGATCACACAAACTTGCCCGCTGATTTGGAGGATCTCCTTGCAAACAACACGTGATGTTGGAATGTATATTTTTGGGGGAACCCGGTTGAACAGAAATTGATCCCTACGGCGTTTGCGGCAGGGGGGCAAGGGGATCCTATGATTGGATGCTTCGAACCCAGCCCACCTGGGAACACAAGCTCGCGAAGGTTCCCTACCTGTGGGTTTCTTTTTTTGTTCGGTTTGCGGCTTGGACTTTTGCGACCATAGAAGGTTTCCCTTAGGGAGGTGAGGGGCCGCCCGAGAGTCTTGGGAGCATTGGACATGTCCGCAGTCGTTTTGGCGCCAGCAATGCTTGCTGGAGACTCGCGAGCGGACATGCAGCTTACAACCTGCAACGGTTATAGTTCCACGGGAATCCTGGCGGAAGGACAGTCGGCGTGTCTGGGTGGTTTCGTTTTGGTCTCGGGTTTAAGGAAAGCCGCTAGGACAAGAACCAGTCTGGAGGGTCGTCGCAAACAGAGCCCATTGTTGGTGGGTTTTAAAGGGAAGCCAAGAAACATGGTTCACTTCGCTGAACGACACTTCAAATTCGACCGTTAAGTTTCATTGATTCGCCCCCAACTCAGTGCGTTCTCTCTATGCTGAGGGCACGTCCCTTTACTTGGCTTGGTCAAGGAGATCTCAAGAAGTGGAACCTTTAAGTGCCCACACCGGCATTTCGTTTGAGAGGGATTGGGTTGGGATGGATATTACCACCAATCCCAAGTGGTACTGCTGGGATGTCGTCCATCCACAGTAGCACTACTAGAAGTTGAGGGTTTCCTTGAAAATTATGTTGTATTCCGAGACGCTGCTTCGACTTATGAAAGACCTTGACCCCTTCATTGAACACCCTGGAAGGGTTTGGGGTCTCACAATCCGGCTGTAGCCTAAGTCAATCGAGAGCCTTTGGGTTCTAGGGTAAAGACTAAGCATCATTTGAACATGTTCTGTTTCATGTACCAAGATCATTTTGCCCAAGTGTCAAGCAGCATTTCTTGGTCCTCCCTGGCCACACCCCCGCTTAAGGGCTATCTACCCCCTTTCTTTGGGGAGAGGGGTATGAACATCAGCAAGCCCTCTGCGAGCCCTGTGGTCATAGGGGTATGTAGTATACACAGGGTTGATCAAAAGGTCCTTTACGTTGGATGACCAGCAGGGAAATTACCAACAAACATGGCTTTCACCACTGAGTGGGAAAGTTACTTATGGTCATTTTGGGGTCAGGAATATTGATCGACCCCGAATATATAAAACCCCAGATCCTAACCCCAAGTTTGCTCCGAGGACGACCTGTAGCTCAATGTTCCTTTCCCATTCCTCGACAGGGGCCCGAAGTTGTGGGAACAACTCCGTCCCTTCACGTTCTGAGTACCCGGAAGTGTTTAATGTTTTTGTTGACACTAGTTTCCAGTCTTTTTGCTGCTTACTGTGCTTCGTAAATGGTGCTCAAACAGTTGTATGATGCTGAAACAGTTTTCCTCACGTTTCGAAGCGGCTGCCGTGCGGCCCGCCCGAAAAAAAGGACCTTCGGCCCGTTGGCTCTGCTCACATGTGCTTTCAGGCCGAAGGCTTCCAGCGGTACCGGAATGATTGAGTGCCCATTTGAGGGGTCCGGTACCGCATTTCTCCCACAGGTGATCACCTTTATATCTGGGTCCCATCCGGGGCATCTGAGAAATTTATCGACTGTGCAGGTTCCCGAACCCATAGCCAACTTTTTGAAGCTCAAATTCCACTTTGGGATGCCGACAGTTGAAGCAGTGTCACCTAGTGAACCCATTGTTTCAGCAGATTAAGGAGTTGCGTTCATTTGAGGAGTTGCGCTGTACCCACTGAGTTTCCCATGTAGGAGTCATATCCAACTTTTGACTGAGGGTCCATGGGTAACTATTCTATATAGTGTCAGGGACAATTTGGGGGTTGAGCCCTAGATGCGAGGCAACCCTACCATTAGCAGCTAAGTTGTTTTGGTTTTTCAAGGTTTGTTCCCTTTGTTACCTACCATCTTTCCACCAATGGAAGTGGACAGAGGGGTTCCCCAATAGTCTTCCACACCTGTCAGCGTCCATACAAATCCGGGGGACGGGAACGGGTGAAACAACACAGGAGGCGGAAGCGCCGCCCGGTCGTGCCGAGCTGTATCCTTCGCCGTGATCCCGGAGCGCGAGACGGCGTCCACTTGCTGGCGCCCTGGAAAAAGAGTCTGGCGAGAGCGCCAGCTCTTTCAGGTGGTTCTGCTCAATGGCGACTCCCTGGAGATTCTGGTGGTAGCAAGGCTTATGAACCTTTCTATCCATGTATCCAAAGTCTGGTGAACCGGGGGGCTCTTTTGCTGGCCTTGTTACCAGTGTCTCCAGTTGAGCTCTTCATTCCTACAACCTGCAAAGAGTGCCAATCCTTCTTCTCCCATGGGGGGTTGGGAGGGAGCCATACGCTGTATGCGTTGGCTAATAGCACGGGGGAAAGTGGCTTGGGTGTTTAACCAACTTAGTAGATAGGTTATAACCATGGTTGTAACTGGAGCGAGCGGGGTTAGTCCCCTTGTCAGTAAAGCCGGGGAGGGGGGGCGGAAGCGTGAACAATATAAGAATTATGGTTTCCTTTTCCTCTTTTTTTTTGTCGTTGTCTTTTTCTCTTTCCATGTCTCTTTTTCTTCATCTGTCCCTTCCTCTTTTTGTGTCATAGGGTAGGCCATGGAACAGAGCCAGAAAGCATGTTTTGCCGTGTTCCCCAACTGCGCCAAGAGTGGGATAGGGCTTAGGTTAAATGGGTTGGAGCTGGTTTACACCCACGTTGTCTAGTAGAACCTCTTCATTTCCAGGTCCCATGGTCAAGGGGCTGATTCCTTGGGGTTGGGATGGCTATCAACCAAAACCAATGTGGGGCTTGTACCATTGCAACGGTCTAAGCATTTTTTCGGCAACACGCCGACCATGTCCCACAGATTCGGAATCCTAAGATGTGACATGTCTGAACTCTTGGTTTGGTCAAACAAAATCCAGTTGGAAGGTTCATGTGGTCTCTGCTCCAGGATCCAAACCCATACACAAAACCCAAGGGGATCCTGTAAATTAGGCCACTTGTTCGGTTTGATTCTTACCCCGAAATTGAAACAAACAAGGGGGCTACACAATACATAGCTAAGTGTGTGTGTGTGAGATGGATCTTAGTACTACGTGTTGCCCCCTATATAATATATATACATATATATGTATATACATATATATATATATACATATATATATGATGTATATACATATATGTAACACACATAATTCCTCTTGTCAAATGTTGAATTGGGCTTCATGACCCCCCCCCTGATTGGCAACACATTTGAGCAGCGCCCAAAACCCCCACGATGATTTTATCTAAACGGTTTCCTAAATAGCTGCTGCGAAGGGAAACACTTTGCATCGCGAAAGCTCGCGAAAGCGTTTTCCGAAAACTCGGTCCGCGAAAGCTCCGCGAAAGGGCTGCTTGTTCAGACGGCGCTTGGGGCAGGCAGTGCGCGGAAAGAGCAGGCGATGACTGCGCGAGAGTACAAATGCACGTGCTTATCAGTGTGCAAAGGCTGTTTGCCAGTTTCGCAGATGCAGGGGATTGGCGCGAAAGCTCTCCAAAAAGCTCCGCGAAAGGTATTCGTCCAGGATCCAAGGAGTGGCCGCTTTCGCACGCTATTCTTGTACTGAGAAGTTGCGGGTTTGGAGCCGGAGCTGCCAAAGTGCGCTTGACTTTCAAGCTGGAGCTACCAATCGTGTTCTTGTACTGAAAGGTTGCCCTGCTAATTTCAAGGAGCCGTCGCGAAAACAAATCTCGATCGGTTTCGAGCACCGCTCAATTGAGACACAAACCCGCATAGAGCCCGTGATTCGCATGATTCTCTTCTAACCAGCAGGCTTTGAGCGCTCACATGCGACCCCAAACTTGGACTCGGAGCTGGATTTTGACACCTTCTTGTGCAACCTTTGTGCCGCTTGTGGATCAAACAAACTTGCGACCAAGCCAAACCAAATTTGACCCATCAATAGGGGGTACTCGCTGCGCTTGCTTCTGGCCGGTGGGAATAGGTTTGTCTCAAATGGGGTACGCATTTTTCTTAACATAGGGTTCCACTAAAATTTGTGGTTTCCCTTTTGGCTTTCTTGATGACCAATCAAAAGGGAGTCCACTTTTTTGAGAACTCCTATATCCCACTGCATATGCCATGTCTGGTTCCTTTTGGCTCGCCAAGCCTCAAAAGCGGACATACCGGGATGGCGCCAATGAGGCGCACAACCTCTTGTTAGTCACAATCAAACTCGAGTAGATGTAGCTTGTATCTGGGCTCAGCACCTTTTTGATTGCTTATAC